TCACGAGCAGTTGTCTAAGCATTTCACTGCATATCGTACTGTGTATGACTGTGTACATGACAAATAAAATTTGAATTTGAATTTGACATGATTCTTCCGATTCATTTAACTGGAGACAAACTGGTTGCATTTCAACCTGTATCTGAAAGTCTCGTACTTACAAAACAAGAAAAAAATCCAGCAAAGATGAGATACGCATCTGGCCTCTCATTTGATCCACCTACTGTTCACCGAAGCCTCATCAGAAATGGTCTCAGTGAAAGGGCAGCTGTATAAGTCTATTTTAAGGAAAGATGGAGAAAAGGCTGAGGTATGCCAAATTACAAATAAACTGCACTAAAAATCAGTGACAACAGGCCTGATTGAGTGATGAATGCAAATGTGAAATTTTTGTCTCAAATTTTTGGAACTGTTGTCAGGAGGTTAAGACTGAGGTTCAACAGTGAGTCTACAGCCATCTGTAAAACAGTGGAGGCTGTAATGGTTTAGGGCTGCATTTCAACCTGTTGGGGATCTTGTCAAAATTGATGGACTTATAATTGCAGAAAAATACTGTCAGATTTTGCAATATCATCTGGAAAGCATCTGATTGGCAACAGCTTAATGTTTCAGTATGGCAATAATCCCAATCTTACCTAGATAGAAAGGTCATGGATTCCCAGAGCCCGGGCTAAAACGTTACTGAAACAGAGTGGGACCAACGAAAGATAGCCAACATCCAAAGAAGAGGTTTGAATGGCCTTCACAAAGCCTGGAGAACTATTCCCGAAGAATGAACAAGAAAGATTGTCTAAGAGAGTTCAGGCTGTGTTGAATAAAGGTGCTCATACCAAATATTGATTTTCAAACTCTGTTTTGCCTTATATACGGTATTTGCACGTGTGTTTGCACATGTTTTAATAAACTGATGTATCTATTCACATTTCACATCAAACTATAGAGAAAAATGAGGTGGCACAAGATTTTTGCACAGTACCAAGCCATTTATAAGCGTTAGACGGGCGAACTTAGCAAAGCTGCGCCAAGCTATTTGAGTGAAGCAGATTCGACACCTTAAAAAAAACGAGTTAAAAAGAAAAACAGAAAATTGTCTATTGCTTTCTGATTATTTCTGATTTTAAAGATTAAAACAGGTTGCCGCAAACTGACTCTTCTTCTGTATTCTTTTGTTTTGTTTAGAAATAAACGAATCTGCTTCCGGTTTCCGGTAGATTGGTAAACAATTGACGTCACTTCTGGTCTGTTCAGGCGGGCTGTTTGAGAGCTCGGGGGACCGACGTACCTCACGTTAAGCTTGTGTAACTAAAGTTTTATAGTTTACGGATAGTCCGGTTTACAGATAGTTCACGAAAAGTGACACTTTAACTTTGTTATTGTGTGGAGATCGAAAGCCTTCACGCAGCTGGAGGGAGTAGTAGTGTTGATTAGCCGTATCAATGCGGTTATTGTTAGCTGACTAAAAAGCGAGCTATGGACCGACCATCTAGGTAAGCTACTGCTTTTGTCGATGCCTGGGTAACCTAGATCTGGTGATGCTAAAAACTGTTTGTTTGTTGTTGTTTTTTAATTGTTGACACACAGGAAGACAAAGACTGTGAATTACTGTGAGACCAAGGACTTCGATGATGGTGAGTAAAATTGAAAATCTGTTATCCTGGCCCATTTGATCCACAGTGTGATAAAGAAATAGCAAAGCATAGCATATCATGTCATCATTTTATAATCTTACATAAAGCATTTACACAAGGACGTGTAGGTTCGTTCAAAAACGAAATTACACCGCTTTGAAATTAGTCTTTAGTATCAAAATGTGTGTAATATACTAAAGATATGACTGCTATTCTATATAAACAGAAAAATCGAGGCAAATTTACACAAGACAATTTAAAGTGCTTTACAGAGGATAGAAACAGAGAAACTGGATTAATATACAGTCACAAGAATGTGAGGGTAGACTAGTTTAAATACCTGGGGTCAGTTTTCTAAAGCAAAGAGAGGTGAAGAAGAGAGTGCAGGTAGGGTGGAGTGGGTGGAGACGAGTGGCTGAAGGGTAGCAGCAAGAGTGAAAGGGAAGGTTTGCGAGATGCAAGTATGGTTTTGACAGGAGTTGGAGTTGATGATGCTCAGATTTTTGTTGGAGTTACAAGGATGGATACAATTAGAAATGAGTACATTGGAGGGACAGCTCAGGTTGAGGGTATGGAGACAAGATTGAGATGGTTTAGAAATGTGAAGGGAGGGGGTGGGGGCCACAGAGACGATTCGTGGATGTAGTGAAGGCAGACATGCAAGAGGGTTGGTGTGACAGAGGAGGATGCTGGGAATAGTGTGAGATGGGTCGGATCTGCTGTGGAGACCCTTAAAGGGAGCGACTGAAAGTAGAACTGCATACAAATTTAGATAAATAAATTAAAACTTTATGCAAGTTTTAATGACTTGCTTTATGATATATATTATTGATAAGCACAGAAATATTAACATCTTTATGACGGATCTGTTGGACGTTTTACTGTGATCTTTACATTTTGTTTACTATACATTGTATAAACTATCACAGCTATGCAGATGACACGCAAATATATATCACAATGTCACCAGGAGACCGAGGCCCTGTACAGGCTCTTGGAAATGCATTGAGGAAATTAATGACTGGTTGTGCCACAATTTTCTCCAGCTAAACAAAAACAAAACTGA